TATCGGTCCATAATAAGCCACACGAAAGGCCCAAAATTAAAGCCCAATTTAATCATGAAGAGAAGGAAGCAGTCCATGTTTGGGTCCTCAACATAACCTGCTGAGAATAGGCCGGTAGCCCAAAAACTGAAGAAGGACCAATGGAGAGGGCGGTTAATGCTGCTCTCTCCTCACTCCTCGGTGGCTTTCTGGTACGTTCATTCTGATCAGCATACAAATTTGATGGGACAATGATATTGAAGGACCAGAAAGGAGAGCATGATTAATGTACGAGTAATTTGAAGAAATCAAGCACAAATTAATATTTCATTATTTCAAACGCTTCAGCCCAGCTATAACATGAAAAGTTAAGATTTGAGAGTGCAGTTAGGCAAGTTGACACGGCTTGGTGGCAAGACATTAAGAACTGGATTTCTCTCGAAGAAGTTGGTGGGTCTTGGCTCAAATCCTCCGCTCAACGTTGGCATAACTGGGAAATCTTCCTGGCTAGGAACATGATGAAACCCCACCGTGTACCACAATACCAAGCCCTTGTTCTCTATGTCCCTGTCCCTCTGGCTCCAAACGGCTAAAGTACCGTCGCCTCTGCTACGATCAACATAGGGTCCTCCCGCCCATTTTTCCGACTTATTATAAGGGGTAACCCACACATTGTAATTGGTGAATGCTGCTCTGTTTTGTGGATAATCGTGGGGCACCAAGAGTGGGTGCGACACTGAGCTCGGGATCAAACGATATCCTATTTTATTTCCGCGTTTTGTCTCCATGTTAGGGTTCACTACTAATAGCTCCGATGCCTTCAACCCTAAGTTTATTCTGGCATCGGCTTCAGTTTTTGCAGTTTCCCTCACAACCTTCCAGTAACTTTTTCTTGGCGTGCTCTGATCATCAGTTACTTTTACGTACAGTCTCCAAATTACTCTTGACAAAGGAGTTGGCCTCTCCATCAATGTCGAGGTCAAGATAATACGCTAAGAAGTGGTCATGGTCGAGACCAATGGTGTAATCTGCTAGCAAAGTACCGTAAATTTCCTCCTTCATTTGATCTGACTGGGTGTATTTTCCTCCTTTAACCTTCAATATACCACCAAGTCCAACCTGTTTAAACCATTACAAAAATGCAACTGTTCATAATAAATTCAAGCCACCGGCAAAATCGTATGCATATATATAGTTGTATTTATTATACCCCTAGCTTGATGCTGCCACTTGGCTTGAACTCCCAATCTATTATGTAGTCGTAGTTACCGACAGTGGTGACCATCCTCACCACTAAGCTCACGTCTGGCCTAACTTCCGTTATCTGCAGACAAAATAATTATAATGGAAATGATAATAGATACGGAGGAAGGAGAATAATGCATACGCCATAACACTTGGTTTGGGATTCCTATCTCAGTGTGACGCCACATGATATCGCCAGCATACCTTTCAAAGATGCAGAAGGCGTTGGGAACTTGGACCGGGGTGCCGTCGGAGCCTTGGTAGGAAGCGTCAAGAAACGCAGCGTTTGAAGGGCAGTCGGTGAGGGGTTGAAGGGAAGAAGCATACTGACCCAACCCATATTCACCACTGTCAAAGTGAGTGGTGTAATACCAGTCCCCAGTCGGGTATGGCACAAACAGCTCTGATATAAACCCTCTGTACAGTACCATCCTTTGCTTTTGCTTCTCCAAATAGTATATTGAAGCCAGCGATATGATTGGTCCAGCTCGGATGTCGAACCCTACATGAAATTCCCAGTGTGCCCAGCTGATTTCCCCGCAGGAATCATTAAAATTAAAAGAGCGGTCGTCAGTGTTAGTTAATTATTGGGGCTCCCTCACAAATTGATCTCCAGCTCCTACAATCGAACTTTAGAAAGGAATTAAGAAAAGCAGAGGAGATGATTAAAGAAGTAACCTTCCTGTATGACCGTTGATCTCAAAGCCGGACCCTTGAGCTTGCCAAAAAGCAGAGTCATTGAGCTTGGGACCAAAAGGAGGCTTCAGTTTGGACGCTCTATACTCTGTCCCCTCAGCTCTGGGCACCGGAGCCACCATCCTACCAGAGTAACCCACAATCTTCACCTCGTCAAGTTCGACCACCAACCGTTATTCCCTCCAACGGCCTCGCGTACAAGTTCACCGTTCCGTTCGTGTAAAAGCAGTGAATGTTCAAGATCCTATTGACGTGGACCTGTCCGAACCACCCCACCGTGAAAGTAGAACACACAACCCGCGACAAATTAAGCCCCTTCTTGTTCACCGACTCTATGAAGGGTCTATATTTGAATGGAAGCTCTGAAGCCATGGTCTGTTCGTCCATGGTCAACATGGGGAAGCCATGGCCTCTGTACACTCTGGTTGAGACGATAGAGCGGCTCGACAGGTCCACCGTGATCTCCAGAGATTGTTTCTCAAAGCGAGCAACTACGAAGGCTCGCCGACGCATTGGGATTGGAGGTTTGGATTCTGAGGACAGCTATGAAAGGATGGCGTGCTTGTCGGGCTCATCCAGACCCACGTGTTGAAAGGTCAGGTTGGCGTGAGAGGAAGAGGTTGGGTATGAGTTTGAGATGATGGTTCGGACCAGGTTGAACTCCGCTGGTGTTAGAGGGTCAAGTGGGCGTGGCAGGCTGGCTCCGGCTGAGAGGCTCGAGAACAGAGTGATGACCAAGAAAACAGCAAGTTCCATAGCTGAAGCCGTCGCTATATGTGAATACAAAAGTGAAGTTCAGCTTCTTTTATATATGCTGTAAGTTGTCATAAACACTTCATTCATTTTATTATCCCGCTTCGTATTTATCGATTACTCAACTGATGATGCAACCTCTGACCCAAAAATTTAAAAAAAAAAAAAAGACAAAAAACTGATGATGCAACCAACCTCATCCTGCGTGGCCCCTATTTTGTATGGAGTTAGGGAAAATACGAATTAGACAAGCAAATATGTGGAGATAAAAATAATTTGGCACACAGCTGAAAAATAATCACACCGCAAGAGAATCGCATAAATAAAATATATATTATGCTGCGGTTTATTTCTTGTGGGTTCAGTCATTCACAGCCACTGCCTAATAAATTAATAAAATAACATTCTTTAGTTAATCTCTTTGGGTGATACTCAAATGATTATCATATTTATTGTTGTGAGTTTACGTCGCATCGTTGGGGAAATTATGGCAGCCACAGGCACGTTTCCAATCGGAGCCAAGTGAAAATAACGGAAGAAGAGAAGCTCGTAATTTGGGGGGCCTTTTATTGTTCACAGACAAGCCCTGCAGTGAAGTACTGGGGCCCATTGTGACAGCCCAGAAATTTGGCGTATCATGCGTCGCGTCGTCAAGATCGTCCGGTAGATTTTAACTTGACATGAATAACGCGTTTGTCTTGTTTCCATAATGAACGGATGCTTCATTCATTTTTTTGTCTTCCCAAGTTTATATCAGACTTAAATTTTTAAAACTCGCCAATCGCATCTTTTTGCTAAGCGTGCATTTTTTTTTTAATTAAAAGCAATCTAATTGTTAGAAACTAAATATGAATTTATTTTTAGTAAGAATTCAAATCTTAACTTATTATGTTACAAGAAACTAGTCACTTCTACTGCCGTTAGTAAACTCTCCAATCATATCCACATTTTGTTTGCTTGTGATCAAATTAACGCTGACTGCCACATTTTCTTTAGCGGCGCCATGCCAAATATGCATGTGGCTCCTTACCCCAAATATTGGCAATTCGCGCAATATAAATTGGGGGAAAATCTCCCAGAAAAATGATAAATTATTAAATCACAAATAAAAATTTTCTATAAAGATAGTAGTATATTGTTATTTGATCATACTCAAACTAAGCTGCGTTTTGTTTTTTTCATCCTTCTGTACGTCTCTTTCACTGGGCATTAGTCTTGATGCCGAAAAGAAATTTAATCTTCCCTTGTTTATTTTCCGCCCCTCGAACATTTACATGTGATTGATTCTTGTTAGCTATAATTTATACTGCCATTTATTGATTTTACATTACTAGACTTTAAAAACAGTTTTAACATTGACTTTTCTTTGCATGAGAAGAGGCAGAAAGTTAGAATTAGCTAGTGTGGTGAGCCAACAAGACATGCATTTTGCGCCAGGATGTGCGTAATGCCCTCGTGTTGAGTGTTGTTTTTAATAATAAAAAGGTATACAAATATATCACTCTACACAGAACCAGTTTCGATACTCATCTCTTTGATGAGTATCATAAACTCATCAGATCTGAACCGTGTATACCTCATTTGAACAGTTCAGATTTAAAATCTTTAATTAATTATTTTTAAATAGAATAAACTATTTTTTGAAAGAATGATAGTTAAGAGATCATCACTATTTTAGAGTCTATACATATTAAAATAATTATTTTGAATAAATAAAAATAAAAAACAAATCAAATCTGAAGCACCCAAATAAGATATAGACGGTTCAAATCTGATGAGTTTACAGTGCTCATCAAATGGATGAGTATCAAAACTAGTTCCCACTCTACACACTGTTCACTTAAAGCTTGACCTAATAGAAATATATTAATTTTATGCAATATTCGTGAAAATTCAGAATTGACGTCATCGATCAAATGCTAGACATCACATGACTGTGCACTAATTCCTGGTTTTTTTCCCTTTAATTTCTAGGAATCATTCCTACCTCTCTCTAGCTCCCTTCAAAATGCTATCCTTCCTCGGTCCTCACAAGTTGCGAAACCTTCTTTCGTTCTTGACAACAAATATCAAAGATGCGTTAAGTTTTTCTTTTTTTAATCAGTAAATTCAGCTTTCGCTTTTGGTTCTCTCTTTCCATTTTATTCTTTATTCACCAAGTATTTGGCAGGGGTTTTTTAGACTACTTCCAAGATAAGGAACTATTTCCTTAAAATAATATATATATACGAACTAAAAGAGATCATTTATCAATATCAAACCGCCCATTCACGTGGAGAGAATCAGTAATAATTTATCATCAACCCACCAAGTGGCCGGAAACAAAATTAAAGCACATGAACACTTGTAGATTTTTTATTGCGAATCGGCCGGCCCTTTAGTAATCAAGACAGCCACACAGCAAACCTCAAATTTCTTTCTTTTTAAATAGAAAATTAAAGCACATCTCCTTCGTAATATAAATTCAATTAAATGCCAGCTCTTAATCCTTCACGTGACTCCCGGTTATTGAATACATGTTGTATGAAAGCCGTTACTGGCTAAATGAAGTGATTAATTGACTAATTAAGGCTGTGAAGTGCACTTAACCCCACGCACAGGCTTTGCAGGCCTCACTTTAAGAACTGGATTTCTCTCGAAGAAATTGGTGGGTCTCAGCTCAAACCCTCCACTCAGTGTTGGCATCGTCGGAAAATCTTCCTGGCATGGCACATGATGAAATCCCACCGTGTGCCACAACACTATATCCTTGTTCTCTATATTCCTATTCCTGCACAATCAGTTACTCTCACTGGTTAGTTAACCATAAATATATAATGAACCTGTGATTTACACTTTCTGGTGTCGGTCAAAATCAACGAGTAGTACTGATCAATATTATATACCTGAGAGTCCAAGTAGCCAAAGTATCATCTCCTCTGCTATGTTCGGCGTACAAGCCACCCGCCCATTTCTCAGACTTATTGTAAGGAGTGACCATGACGTTATAATTGGCAAAGGCTCCTCTAATCTGTGGATAATCATCTTTCAACAACAGTGGCTGAGCAACGGGGCCTGGGAACAGACGGTACCCGATGTTATTCCCAACCGTAGTCTTCTTATTAGGGTTTACGATTGCCAGTTCGCTTGGCTTCAATCCCACGTTCATCTTAGCATCGGCTTCTGTTTTAGCTGTTTCAAGTGCGACTGTCCAGTAACTTTTCCTCTGTGAACTTTGATCTTTTACTGTGACGGTCTCTAAATTGGTCTTCACAAAGGAATTGGCTTCGCCATCAATGTCGAGATCAAGATGATAGGTCAAGTAGTGGTCGTGGTGCGTCCCGATCGTGTAATCTGCTAGCAGTGTTCCAAATGCATCCTCCTTTATCTGATCCACGTGGGTGTATGATGTCCCCTTGATCCCCAAAACTCCTGTTAGCCCAACCTGCTCCCGTACAGACACAAAACAGCCAGCAGTCATTAATTACAACCACACGTATCTACCATATATGTATCTAGATCACAAGCATTTTTAGTGTTATACCCCAAGTTTGATGGAACCACTGGGCTTAAACTCCCAGTCTATGATGTAGTCGTAGTTGCCCACAGTTGAGACTGTTCTCACCACCAGCGTAACATCTGGTCTAACTTCCGTTATGATCTGTCCAACGCCAAATAAAAAAAAGAAGAAGAAGCATTATTATAGCATTAATTAAAAAACAGTCAGCTTAATCTAATGAAGAGATAGTATAGAATTTATTACGTCTTCATTTGGGACTTCGAGTTCTGTGTGACGCCACATGATATCTCCTGCATGCTTCTCAAAAACACAAATAGCATTGGGTATCTTGACGAGTTTGCCGTCTTCTCCGGCGTGATAGGCATCAAAAAATACAGCATTGGCAGGGCAATCTGCGCGAGGCTTGAGAGGGACCATGGATTGCCCAAATCCATACTCTCCACTGTCGAGATAGGTCTTGAAGAACCAGTCTGCTGTTGGGTCCATGTATGGCACGAAGAACTCTGAGATGTACCCTCTGTACAATACCCGACGATATTTGTGCTGTTCCATATCATATATGGAAGCCAGAGATATTACTGGTCCGGCTCTCACATCAAATCCTACGTGAAGTTTCCAGTTGGCCCAACTGCTCTCGTCCAAGACACAGACAAGTTTTTAGGTTATGAGTAAGCAAAACATAAAGTCCAAGCTACTTGTGCAAAGTCTTCTTTAATTTGTCTTCTCGGGTTGTTCTATATATTAACCAGCACTTTATTTGTCTCCAAGCAGTTTTTAATTAAAAGGGAACACTTGCATCGGTGATTGATAAATTCTCGTAATTGAAATATAAACAAATTAGTTAACCTGATAGAATGGCCGTCGATGCTAAAGCCAGGTCCATTGGGGACCATAGTCATCCCATTGAGCTTAGGACCAAAAGGTGGCTTCTGCTTCGAGAATCTGTACTCTGTGTTCTCAGGTCGAGCCAGCGGAACGCTGCCCGTGTCAGAATATTCAACGATCTTCCTGTCATCAAGATCGACCACTATTGTTATCCCCTCCACAGGCCTGACGTACAGGTTTGCAGTTTCCTCCTCATCCGCGTAGTAGCATTGAAGTTTCAATGTCCTATTGCTCTTCACATCCCCAAACCAGCCCACAGTGAAAGTGGAGCAAACAACGTTGGAGATATTTAGACCCCTTTTGTTGATGGACCGAATAAAGGGTTGGTATTTATGGGGCAGTTCGGCGACGGAGTCTTGCTCCTCAACACTGTACATGGGGAAGCCATGGCCACGGTACACTTTTGTGGAGACTATGGCGCGTTTGGATAAATCCACAGTGATCTCTAAGCTTTGCTTGTTGAAACGAGCAACGACAACGGCCCTGCGAGGGGGAAGGGACTTCTTGGAGTATAGCCATGAGAGAACAGAGGGTTTGTCAGGATCGTCTAGGCCGACGTATTGGAAAGTGAACTTAGGCGGAGAGAATGGGTATGATTTTTTGACTATGGTTCGAATAAGATCGAACTCAGATGGGGTGAGAGGGTCTAGAGGGTGTTGGTGGGATGAAGACGAAGCTGTGGCAGAGCAAAACAAGAGAAGAGGAAAGAGGAAAAGGAGGTTTGTTGACTTCATTTGCGTTGCGTTGAACACAAATGGATGAGTGAATTGAAGAGGCTATGGAAATGTGTGCGGCGAATGCCAGAGCGTGAGGTTCTTAAATAGATCATGGCATCACTCACCAACTCGTTTTAAATATTGGACAGTGATCCGCTAAATATTCTCGCACGTGCAGAAGCTACATGGCATCCCACCCTTTTCCACGTGACTCGTGCTTGCCCATCGCATGGAATTTAAGCAAACCATTGAGTGCTGGAAATTCTTGATTAGCTGCATTTTCAATATTAAATTTAGTCTAGTTGATCATATTCATGTCCTTAGAAATTCAAATTTGTCCAACCGGATCTGGAGGGAAGCGCACGCATCGATTCTACTCCTCAATATTATAATATTAGCGTGCTTCAAAACCCCCCCTTTTTTAAAAATCATATGGCTTTGTTTCTTTGATAAGGAAATGGATGATTGATGACATTAATTACAAACGACTTCTTACAAATATACCAGAATCGATTCGTTTCCACCCAATAAATATAGATTAATTAGAAGGCACTTTCGGGCTTTCACCTCAACACGTAATGTGGGGTTAAACTGAGAAGAATGTACAGTAAAAAACAAGGCCTTAGAATATAAAAACTAAAGAATTTGGCCGACAAAGAAAATAAACTGATTGATGATGCACGCTTTAGTGACTTTAAATATGGAAATCATTGATATTTGTTTGGCGCTTATAATCATAATCACGATTTTGAATTTGAAATAAATAAAACTCCTTTAGCCCTAAATATAAGATTCATTTTGTAATATAATTTTTATACAACAAAATAAATGTTATATTTAGAGCTTGAGACAGAAAAGAAAAGTATGAGCACAGTTCACAGACATTGTTTCGCTGTTAGGAAAACAATATTGAAAACATAAATGGAGGAACCGCGTAACAACAGTTCAAAATGGACAGCATTATCTTCTCTTCCTCCCCCCCGGGTCATTATTATTTTTTACAAAAAAGTGTTACATTAGCGGACATTGTTCAAGTTTTCACTAGCCATACAACTTATTTCATTGAACTATGGAAAGTATTTGAGATGTCCATTGTTATGTTCACCGTTGCACGGTGAGTAAATGCTTGTTATCTTCTCTTCCTTTTCCCCTCCTCTTCCCTTCATTCTTTTTTGTTTTTAAAAAAAAAGTGTTACATCAACTTTTATTCAAATTTGATCCCTTATAATATCATTATTAAAATATTAAATTAAGCAGAATATAAATATAATAATCAAATATAAAATGGTAAAATTTAATGCGAATGGTTTCAACTGCAATGGAAAATATTAAAAAAAGATCGTTTAAATGTTAATATTTTAAAGAATATCAAGAAAAGAGAAGGAGGGGGGAAAAAAAAACAGAGAATCCTATCCCTTAGACAAAGATGCATAATTTAAGGGGTAGTTCATCTCAAGTGACGAATATAAATTATGGAACATTTAAAGAGCGGATTTATTTTGCTAAAACTGAATTCGGCATCAATGAAAATAAGAAATTAATACATATCCAATAAAAAGATAAAATATTTAATTTATAAATGTTACTCGTAATAAATTATGGAAGAGCTCAATTAATTAAGGTGATTCAAAATAATAAGGGTACACATCTGAAACAAGGCCTATAGAAAATAAAAACTTACGAATTTCGTCGACAGAGAAAATGAATTGATGGATGATACGCGCTTTTGTGACTTAATTAAATATGGAAATTGTTGATATTTCTTTGTTGTTTATAAATTATAATCATGGCCTGGTTCGATTTTAAAATAAATAATATTATCTTTTTCTCGTGATGAAGAAAAAGTATAACCACAGTTCAACAACATTTGTAGCATCTCGCTGTCAGGAAAACAATTATTTTTTGCCATTATCAGATAAACAACGTTGAAAAATCATACAGAGGAGCGAGAAAGAATATTAAATCTAAATCATGCAAATATTAATATTAAGATCAGGAAAAATTGGAGAATGAGAAAAAGAGTAAAGAAGATGAGAAGAAAATAGAAAACAATCCTATTCCCTAGGAAATGCTTAAGTTAACAGCTGTTAAATATGATTTCTTTTTCTGAAAAGATATACATTTAGTCTTTTCATTTTATATAATGTTTTAGTTTTGTCTTTTAATTTAAAAAGTATATTTTTTAGTCATTTAATTTTAAATCATAAGATGATTTTTTTATAACAATTAGAATTGTTTTGAAAATTAAACTTAATATATTGACCTTTAAAATATTTATCAATATTTAATATCTTATTATCATCATTTTTTAATTAACGTTTTTAAGGTTAAATAACTAAAATATACTTTTTAAAACTAATGAATCAAATTAAAATTTTGTATATAATTAAAGCAGTAAAAGTATGGTTTTCTTTTCCGCCAACCGCTACGTGTGAATGATGAATTCAGGAATATAAATTATGAAGCATTTCCATAACGTGGGACAAATAAATCCTAGTAATTGTTTTATAGGATCTATCATCATTGACACCGGCCGGTCGAGGGTCCTTTCCTCGGAAAGCTTTACTTTTATTCTGAAAAACTTGCCAGTATACTTCGCTAACTCAGCGGCAACGCTGCCAGGCCAAGATGTCAAGTTTGAGAATTTTCATTTTTATATTGATATGTGTGTTTAATTAATGGATTTATTTTACTAACATTAAATTCGGTATCCATTAAAATGAGATGTTAATATAATACATAATTAATCAATTAAAATATTTAATATTTAATATAAAATCTATAACAAATTATATAATTCACAAGTATTGATTGATATTAATGATGGCAGAGCCCAAATTAGAAGTCCGAAAACTACATTAACGAATGATTATTATGATTTGGGTGTTTAATTGAAAGAAAAAGGCAATATTTATAGGCGAGAGAAAAAAGAGCCTTGATCATCTGGGCTTGGTCAACGAAGTGGTGTTATATCGAGTAGGTAATTTGCTTCTCCCAGAAGACTCCAAATGAGACGACACAATCATGGACCCAACACACACAAACACAAACACTTGTTGATATATAAGAATTATAATATCACGTGGTCTCTCATGACGACGTTGTTTTAATATTGAATGGCTGGGTACGCACCTCAGCCTTGCGTGGCTCTGTGATTAACAAGAGATACGCAGAGCCTAACTCCAAGATCTGGTTTGGGCTTTCAACATACATTTCTGCGCAATTACAAATTAAACGAGCTCCTATCTACCAACCAGTTGAGGTGGCAGCCAATACAAGCTCAAATTTTAAGAAACATATCTATATTGAGAAGACTATTTTTAACCGCTCTCTGTTTAAAGAATTAATTTTAAATCTAATATAATCTGAGAATACCTGGTTTACTTTAAAAAAGAGCTCATGATGTGTGCCTTTGAAACTGATTGTCCCCCCACCAGACTATATTCATTCTACCTACCACATCTCTTTTTTTTTTTTTTTATGTTTGATTATTAAAGCATATGACAAATTAAGTTATTGCGTAAGTGTTCCACCCACCGTCCCCTTCATGTCCAAACCTTCATGTTTATGCTAACCTTACATCATACCTACCAAATCGCTTCGGCCAACATAAGAGGAAGTGAATGGTCCTAAATATGTTAGGCTCAAATCCCGTTGGTATATAAAACATTAAAAATAAAGAATAGAGATAGAATTGTAATTAAAAAATTATTAAAAAAAGTCTTTAATATGTAGTAATATGTTACATAGGAATAGGATTAGGCAAATCAATGGAAGTAGGACTGTCTAATCCCATGGAACAAGTAATCTCCCTACTAAACACTATTTTTTCAATCTCAATCTCAATCCTAATCTCAATCTCTTATTTTTAATCCTTGTACCAATGGTACCTTAGGGTTAAAAACCCATAAACCCTATCTGTACTTGGAACAATCATCAAACCTGCCAGCGTGAGATTATATAATAGAGTCGCCTCCAGTATAATCATGCGAGCATACATGCATTAATTATATTGCGGGTCAGTTGTAGAAGCAAGAGAAAGAGAACTCATGATGTGGTATTTGGGATATAGCAGACCCGACAGGAGAATAATTGCAAGCCA